GCTTCTTTTAAAGTTACCAGATTAGTCTTCAAAAGGTGTGGAAAAACGTGAGACATGGTCATGTTGATTCGGGTAAATAGTCTCATGAGCGCTTCTGGCTTGTGCTGATAATTTCGCTGTTGATTTGGCACAGGATTAGAAATCATAACATCCCCTACCGCCGGGCGACATTCAGTTTTGCTTTGATTCCTATGGTCATATGCAGCACTGACCTCCTTCTTTCCAACAAAGGGTTTCTTCATCGTGATCGAGGATGCATCTCTTTGAATTTTGCCACTTTTTATACCGGTTTCGACCCGCTCACCAGTCATGATTAGTTCAATAAATCCAGCTGAGGAACTTCCGATCAGGTGGTTGAAGAATGGACCCGACAAGGTGCCTAGGAACATATCCACTAATTCTCTATCAGATAGAGAGGGTTGGACTCTGCCTATGAGATCCCTCCATTTTTGAGCATAGGTTTTGAAACCTTCACCTGCACCCATAAACATGCCTTGCAATTGCATCAGAGTTGGAGCTAAGTCAGCATTATACCAGTATTGTTTGTAGAAGGCGGCAGCCAAATCTTCCCAATTGCGAATGTTGGTCCCTTCCAACTGATAGAACCAATCCAACTGCATCCCTGACAAGCTCTCTTGGAAAAATGCACCCATAGATTCTTATCAGCCGTATGGGGTTGAATATTTCTGACGTATGACCTTAAATGCAGCTTCAGGCAAGAGACACCATCATATTTAGAGAAAGTGGGGACCTTGAATTTCTGCGGGATACCAACCCCTGAGACAAGTCCTAACTCTTCAAAATCCAATCCGGGTACCCTCTAGACCTCCATAGCATTCAAATGATCCTCTAGCTCTTTGTATTTATTATCAGCAGGAGGATATTGTTCCTCAGAGTAGTCAGGTTCTTCCTCTTCTTCGGATGCTGGGTTGCTGTTCACTTCCTTGGTCTTGTCTTCTTGATTATCTCCTTCACCCGATGATGTAGCGAAGTCTAAAGTCCGTCTGGCTTGTCCTTTGAAACTTCTTCCCATGATCACAATACCGGGTGGTTTCTTTGCTTTCTTCTTCTTCTCTTTGGCCAGTAGAGTCTTCAACTCCTCTTGTCCTTTTGTCAGAGTCAAGAGCATTTGTTGAAACTGGACGTTCTGCGCCTGAAGATCTTTCATTGTCTATTCAATATCTATCTCAATGAAATAAACAGTAGAAGGATAAGGAGACCTGTTGTAAGAAACCTGTATGATGTTATGATGAATGAAGATGCAATATGCAAATGATTTCAAGGAAATTAGAGATTTAAATTTGTTCAAACCAAAAAAGAACACACGTTATATTAATAAAACCAAGTTTGAGTACATCATGCCTCTTTGGGCTTACAATGAAAGAAACAAAATACAACAAAAACTCCTAAGACAAAAAGGTTGAACACATCCTCTTTGGCGCGATGTAGGCGTTCAGATTCCGCTCTTCATGAAGTTGCTTGGTGAGTTCCAGAACCTTCTTCTCACTAGCGTAAAATTGGGCTTCAAAGGTATCTCGCTCTTCTTTCAATTGAACCCAAGATTTTTGCAAGTCTTCGAGAGAGGTAGGCATGTCAGGATGAAAGACAGTGTATGGGATGTCTCCTTCAACAACAGGCTCTATGATAACAGGGAGGATGGAAGGGTAAGGCATCACGAGACTCTGAGCACGAGCCTGTACCCACCTAAGGTAAGGCTCGAGAGGGATAGAGTTTTTGTTCCCAAAGTCCTACTGTCCACCTTGTTCACTATTCTCCAAGCTCGTGTAAACCTCTGGCGGTAACCTTGGTCTTCTTTGTCATAGTCGAACACCAGACCTTGAATGAGCATCTCATGAGGGCTATCTCTTCGGGCATACCCAAACTGTCGAAGAGCTAAGCAGGGATTGTAGGTGATACCTCCCCTAATACCAAGCAGAGGGACGTTAGGGAATTCCCCACAGCGGTCAATGATAAAGACATCTTCCAAGGATCTCGAACACCAACAGATATCAGAATGGGTGAGGGACATCATCCTTTGAGACCATGTTAGTCTTTGCTTGTTCTTTAATGCTGATTGAGGTAGGTGTGAAGTGAACCACTTAGCGAGTAGGGAAATACAACACAAGAGAGTACCTCTTTTATTCATGGTGCAGGTATGGAGGCAATGCAAGATGTCTCCCAGTAAGGTAGGTACAGGATTACGAGAGAGAAAGACTTTGATGGCGTTAACATCTACGAATTGGTCCGAGTTGGGGAACAGAACTAAACCATAAATGAGAAGAGCCATGATGTCTTCAAAAGCTTGGAAATCCATGTCGTCCCAGAATGAACGAGCCTTCTCCAATATAAACTTGACTAGGAAGCCTTTAACCCCGCTTCTTATCTCCCAATTGCCTATGATGTCGACTCTCTTCATATGAAAAGCTTCGGCGATGACTTCAGGTTTTGGAATCCATTCTAGACCGGTGAATGGTATCTGATTAAGCATGGGCACCCCTAAGAGTAGAGAGAACTCTTCCAGTGTAGGTACCAACTGATAGTCCAGGAAAGTGAAACAATGATGTACGAGATCAAAGAATTGGAACAACACACACATCATTTCTTCTTGGAAACTGGATGTAGCCAAACTGAGGAGTCGACCGTATTTCTTTGTAAAAGGAGAATCTCTGGGCACTCTTGAGGCTAACTCCTGAAGTTGAGGGTGTGCTTTTACAAAGCTGATTCAGATGGTGTTTCTTCGGACAGAATTCATGACCTACAAAATAAAAACAAAGATAAATTTCTAAATCCTTGAAATGGTTAGTGAGCATGCGTATGATGCTTATGATGTTTATGATTTTATGCACAAGTAAATATATACACACACAACAAACAAGTTCCTATGTTTTAGGCTTGCATGGAGTTTTATAGGTAAGTAACCTCTTGAAGTTTAGTTGGCTCAACCTGTCCTAGTAATAGTGATCGGGTTCTAAAGGATCTCAATATCACCGACCTTTCTCTTAGGAATTGTCTCAGCATAATCAATCTTTTCTTGCGGCCAAGATATCCCAAAAGTCTAGCCTAAATGAGTGTAGTGTCGAGTATCAACCAATTTTCAGCTCTACACTGAAACCGCTTATCTCACTACGTCCTAATGGCCAAGTTTGTTCAATTAGGGTTCTAAAGTCAGTTAGTGCTTCATGACGCCACTCAGCGGCCATGTATTCTCCTCGATTCACCTCGAGGGATACTGGTACCCACAAATGCGTCACACTAACATAACCATTGTTTCAACCATATCGGTCTATGCCGTACAGTTTCCATAATTTATTGCTATTTACCTAAAAAGGTGTCCCAGATCCGGGTGAAGGATCAAAGCAAGCCCAATACAAAGAACAAAATATAAAGCATGCAAAAAAACAAGTAAAAAGTGATCTAACCCTAAGGTAACCCCGCTTTTAGTTTATATTCCCCAACAGAGTCGCCAGTTCTGTGATACGGTGGGAGAACTGACTTGAGTTTTTGCGTTTTGATCGCAATTGTGCGAATAGCAAGAGTCGCCACCGACTTTTCTTTTATCCAAAAGGAAAGGTAAAAAAGCATAGGAAAGACCTCTCGAGATTATTTCTCGGGTTCGAGGGGTAGATTATAAAGAGGGAAGGTATTAGCACCTTTTCATCCGTAGTTATCTACGGGTTCTTAGTTACTCGCTAGATCACTTACTTTTACTTTGACAATGTGCTTGTGGTGTGAGCTTTGAAATTATTTTGAAAATATCTGTGTAATGGTTCTCGTTTCTATAAGAACGCGTATAAAGTTTTGTTTTTCAAGATAGTTCAAAGATGTGTTTGTGGAATGTATTTTTGAAAGTGGTTTTTGGAAAGGTGTTTTGCAATGGTTGTCGTCTCTATAAGAACGTATACAAAATGTTGTCTTTTTGAAAATGTTTTTGAGATGAAAGTGTCGGCGTAAAAAAAGTTTTTGTCGTGAGCAAGCGAGTAACTAGGAACAAATCTACCTACTCGAAAGGTCTTAAATGTTCTTTTCTTCCTCCTTTAGATGTTGCTATCTTACCATTGATTTGGTAAGAAGCCCCATTGTTGGATGTAAAGAGACAAGCGCGGGTCAATTTTACAGTCATCGAAAGCAACTTATGAGACGCTTTAGCAATTTTTCGTAAGGGACTAAATCGTTTTACCGGAGGCAACATTGAGGGTCATCGAGGGACTACGATATTTTTTATCGAAGGGTCTTTGCTAAAACGTCCCATATTCGAGGGACATGATTGCGTTTACGAGGCAACGAGCGAGGTTACCCTAGATGTGCGCGTGTGAAAAAGTGTGTTTGATTCAAATTATTTTTTCTTTTGAAATCTAGCGATTGATTTTAAGTCTTACCATGCACGCCTAATTACTATACAATATAAAGAAAACAGTAAATTGCGAAAATTAAAACTCTACACTATTACAAAGCTTTTGGGAATGGGGGTACAAATTTACAAATAGGGATGAATCGAATCATCTATGAGATTAAAAGTCTAAATAGGCAATCAATACAACCAAATCGAATTAAAAATAAATAGTTAATTAGACTAAAACAAACTATTAAAGTAAAACTAATAGACAAAATAATATTTTTGGTATTTTTGTTTGTAAGAAATTTAGAAAGAAAATAAAGAATCTATTCTGTTATTTTTATTTGAATTTTATTATGTATAAACTAAACAAAATTAATACGAAATCTTAACTTAATTAATTAATTTTGAAATTATATATTTTATTTAATTAAATTTAACATTAATACTAAATATTAAGTCTAAACTAAAATTATTAAAATAACTCTAAATTTTTAAGTAGTTAAATTAGAACTAAACTATGCTAAGTGATAGGCTTATCTATTATCAAGGATCATTTCAAACAAAATATCAATCTCATTTCTCCTCTAATTAATCCTTCTAATTAAAGACTATTATCAATGCATTAAACAAGGTTATCAAAATAATTACAAAAACAAAAGGAATAATGTTTAGAGAAAACAAATTAGGGTAATGTAAAGTCTCTTCCACTTCACGCTCAAAGACCGCTTCCCTCCTCCTTCTCAATCGCGGTCGGACCCAAACCTCTTTCATCTTCATCTCTCTCTCTGTTAAATTGACCGCCATTTTCCTCTATGCTTCTTCTCAGCATATCCCGAATCAACAAAAACCCCAAAGCCGAAGTGATTTCGGCACCGGATTCTCTCTGTCATTAACCTCTTCTTCTGAATGGTTCTAACGGCGCATCTCTCTCTTCAGTTACACTTCAACCACAGTCAACAAAATAAAACTGACGACGGTTTTTCTGGTGATTTCGTGGTGGAGGGAACACGAAATCAATGATGGTTTTTGGTTGTTGCATCGATCGGTGATGTAGGCCGGATGTACGAGGTACGTATTTCACCGTTTAGATGAATTTGCTTCTGATTCTGCTAATTTTGTTTTCTCTTTGGTCAATTCAAAAGATTGGTGTGTTAGTTATGTTCAGAGAATGCTGTTGTGACAGGGGCATTAACGAAGAAGAGGGGAAAAGGAAATACAAGGTTTACCGACTGGAGGGAGGTTGGTATTCACTGCGAGCGGAGAAGGACAAAGGGAATGGGATCTGCTTACGGATACAAGTGGTTGATTCATTGAGTGAAGGGTGATTCCGGATGGTAATGTGGCGGAGATGGAGGCAGCAATGCTTGATGGAGATGATGGAAGACGAGCTGAAGGTGGTGGGTGGATTCAGGATATTCGGTTTGTGTGAATCTTGCAGAAGACGAAGCTGCTAGGGTATTTATAAGAGATGATTGAAGATGATGAGAAGGTCTGCGGTTAAGTGGAGGATTAACGAAACAGAAGTGGGAGTATACACTTGAAGAATGGATATGGAAGGCTGGGTAATGTTGAATGAGGAAGGTGGAAATCGAGAGGCGAAGGGGATTGTAATGAATGGAAGTTTGGACTGGGAAGATGAAGAGGAATTGTTTTTTTTTTCTAATTTTTTTGGTAAGTTTCGATCTGGTTTTTTTCTTTTAGTCTGAAATATTTTCGGTTCATACTTTTGCAGGTGAGTTGTTTGTTGGTGGAAATTTAGAATCTTGTTTTGTGTTTCAATTGATGTTTTTTTTGTATGTTTAAATAGTTACAAAAATAACAGCGAAACAGTAGCATAAACAATGAAAGTTCAACAACTAATCAAGGCAACACAAAGCAGCAGTATACTTATGAGACCAGGAAGAGAGACTTACAAGATTGGAGCTTTATGAATGATTCTTTTGAATTTTTATGTACTGCTGCCCCCTCTGTCCGCTTTCAGTTCCTCAATCGTTCTTGTCGTCGACTTTTCGTTTGATAGGGAAGTCTCCTTTGTAAACTTTCCTTCTTTCTCCTTTTTAATTTTTGAAGGGCTATGTGAGGAAAATGATGAGGAGGAGGATGATTTGGCTTGGTTGCTGTATTGGTTTTCGTTGTGATAAAATATTTGTTCCCTTTTTTTTATGGATGAAAAGTTGGTTCTGCTACTGTCTAATTTTTTTTTCTGGTTCTTGTTTTGTTTCCTGCTTCTATCGATCCCTCCTTCTCCCTGCCTTTTTGTTGCTGTCGTTTGGTGGCTATGGTTATTGTATGAACTATTTTTTTTCTTTGTATATTTTGATGATGCTGTTACTGGTTGTAGCGTGCTGTTCTCTTTTTTTTTGGTTTTCTGTTATGTTGTTATATATGGACATCAGTGGGTAAAATGGAGGGAAGAATATATGTTTGATTTTGAATGTAACAAAAGATTTTTATGCCAAACTGTTCTATTGCTTTGTTGATGTAGACTTTGGTTTTTGCTGAAATTATGCAATTGCTAGACTGTCTTGGACTAACCTGTAGGCTGGTTTTGCAGCAGGTTTTCGGACTGCCAACTGCTTTCTTTTTGTTGCAGCAGTGCAGGCTGTAATGCAGTCCTCTTTTCTCTTTACAATATTTGCTTTATTTGTGAACCAAAAGACATATTTTTGTGATTTGCAATGAGCATATTTATTTGGGCCGATGATAGGATAAAGTTGAGGCTTTTGTTGGGCTTTAATCTCTGATTTGTGATGCTGCTATTTCTAAATCTTGTATTTTCCTATTGTGATTTCATTACACCGCCTCTTTTTCTTTTGTGAACCGAGATTTATCTTTGTGATTTGCAAATGGAAAAGAAAGCCCATGATTGAAACTAATTTGTATGAGGCTTTAAGCTTTAGCACATGACTAATTACCTCTTAACTTTTCTGATTCCAAGCATAACCCTCATGATGAGAAAAAATTATTCTAAACAAGAGTTCTTGAATTTTTCACATGCTTGCTAATTTTTCTTTCTTGTTTCATGTACAAGCAACTTGGGCAATGAAGGAGAATTGGTGAGGAATGACTTGAAGTAATTGGTCAAGACTTGAAGATGAAGAAAGTTCCCTTGTAGCTTAGCATGTTGTTAGGAATTTTAGTAACATCGCGAATCTTGTAATTTGAATTACGTGGTTTAGAAACTTGTAAAGCGCATTCCAATTCACTTATAAATTTAAACGACGAATTCCGCTTTATTTTGTAAAATTCAAATAATGCAGTCTTGTTGTAACCCTTCATTCTTGACTCAATATGAATTTGTTTCTAAGACTTGTAAAATTTGAATATTCTTTGACACAATTTAAATTACGAGCACGATTTGGATTTATTTCAGTGGCCCATGAACTTAAAAATGCCTCTTGAGGAAAGAATGAGATTTGAATCTTGATGAAATATGAAACCCCTATTTGTGTGAGTTGAACATATGCCTTGCTTGGTAACTTGAACCTCAATAAAATCCAACGCTTTTGTAATTTGTATTTCAAGTAAAACCAGGGCGCCTTATCTTTCAAACTTCAAATCAAATTCATTCAAAATGACATCGTCTGCCATGCCCGATTAGAATGGAACTTCGTTGCCAAACAAACATGTTTTGGAGAATATTTGTCAATCTTGTAGAATTAACCAACTTCAATAAACTGCAGTTAAGAACACTTAGAAATCAACTAAAGTCTTGCGATAATTCAATTTTTTTTTAAAGTCTTCCAACACAATTTTCTTTCGACCTTTGGAGATAAACTCATGTGCGACATCACTTATGACCATAAACAGGAATAATCGTCTCAAGGTCTTGTAATTTGAAGAAATTACAATTCTTAGAAATCAGACGACTGTTATTTGAAATTAGGTCAAACTTCACGATGCAACTTCTTACGCACTTGTATTTTGGTGATCTTCTACGCGTAATCAGTTCTTGATTTCTGAAGAGAAATTGGAGATAACATCAAGGAGAATCGTACGTAAGAAAAACCACTCAAAAATATTAAATAATGAAGAAGTTTACAAGCACTTGAACTTGTTCTTGCAAAAGGGTTGATTTTGGGGTTGCTGTAGTTGTTTTCAGTTATCTGGACCATTGATTGAGCAAACTTACCATACGAGGTTTGAAAACTGGCTCAAACAAACTGGAAGAGATATAAAAACCCATGAAGACCAATTGAGACCTTGAAAACTCAACTTTCTTTGATAAATTCAAAACCCTAATTGCTGATTTACTGCCTGGGAAGAGAATCTGTCTGATCGATTTCTGAGCCAAATTGAATATTCGAGAAATCCTAGGATTGTATCTTGTATGAAAAATGGGAAGGAAAATTTTGGGGTACAACAGTTATGGTTCAGATAGGTTAATTTTGTTGGAAGGAAGTCATTTTTTGCAACATTTTTCATGTTGTTGAGGATTTGTAGCGTCCTCTTTTTTTGATTTGTTATCCCTGATTTTTGCCTGATTGTTCTAGTTTTGGGATTACAGTCAGCAGGATGCCCCAATTTTTCTTAAGTCTCCTTCGTAGGTTTTGTCTTAGTGAGCTTTTCTTTTGAGAGATAATGACTTCCTATTTGATAGGGAACCATCACCGTCTTTTGATTCAGAAGGACGTTCTTGATGTCATTCGTTGTTTATGAAGTGAAATCTTGCGACTGAATACACATTTGAATTAACTGAGAAACTACCCTGTCCCAGGTTTTGATTAAGGATTTCAATTTGTGTGAAAAAGAAAAATCCAACTTCTTTGACTCAAATGGGTTGACTAGGGATTATCTTCCTTATAACTCCAGTGTTTAGGGTTTGAAAGAACTCCTGTACATCGTTAGCAAGGTCTATCCAAAAGCATACTGTATGTGATTATGGCATTGTTTTCGTCATCATCCCTCTAAAGGCTTGTAACTTTTGAAAATAATAATTGAATATCATAAAGGGAGTAAAAAAGCATAGTTTAAATATAAAGAAAATGAATGGATTAATTCAAGACAAACCTATGCAATGCATTAATGAAACAAAAGTTTGACATTAATAGATAAGTGTTTAAACAACAAAAGAGATTACAATTGAAAATTAAAAAATGAAATGGACGCTCTCAATGATTTGGCATGGGAGAAGTGATCACGTTGGGAGCCTCTAGAGGGTCAAACTCAATCTCCTTAGTGTCAATCATGTTTTGAATCTTGTACTTCAGCGCCCAACAATCGTTAGTATCACGCCTAGAACTGTCGGAATGATAAGGGCATATTGCATCAGGATTGTAGTTAAGAGAAGAAGTTTTAGGGTTTGGATGGGGTCATATCAACGTAATTAGATTCATCCTCCACATGTGTTGCAATGCTTGAGACAGTGGCATGTTGATATTGGTAAACTGTCTCTTGGGCTCGTCTTGTCTTCATTGATTTTCCCGTTGTTGTTGTCCTCGCGATGCAGGACTGGAGATCAGGACTGCCCCCACATGTTGATCGTTGTTGCTCTTGTTACGGCCCTTTTGGATGTACACAACATTGGACTCTTTCTTCCCCATGAAAGGCTGTTTCCCTGCACTTGAAGATGCACCCCTTTGAATTTTACCGCTCTTAATGCCAGCCTTTACTCTTTCACCTGTCAGTATTAGCTCAGTGAACTCGGCAGAGGAGCTTCTGATTAGGTGATTGAAGAAAGGTACCGTCAAAGTTCCCATAAAGATATTAATCAGATCCCTGTCAGTTAAGGGTGGCTGCACCATGCCAGCCAAGTCTCTCCACTTTTGGGCATATTCTTTGAAGCCCTCGTTGGAACCCATGGTCATGTTCTACAACTGCATGCGAGTTGGTTCCAGATCAGCATTGTATTGGTACTGCTTGTAGAAAGCATCAGCTAGATCCTCCCAGGTGTGGATGCGAGAACCTTCTAATTGATATAACTAATCGAGTTGAGTCCCAGGTAGACTCTCTTGGAAGAAATGGACCCAAAGTTTCTGATCAGTGGTGTGTGGCTGAATCTTGCAGACATAAGATCTCAGATGCATCTTAGGATAAGAGACCCCATCATATGTGGCAAAAGTAGGGATTTTGAACTTTGGTGGGATGACCACTCTGGAAACCAACCCCAACTCTTCAAAGTCCAAACCAGGTATCTACTGAATCTCCATAGCATTGAGGCGATCCTCTAGCTGTTTGTATTTATCACCAGCGGGAGTATATTTCTCCTCAGAGTAGTCAGTTTCATCTTCATCAGTCCCTGGGTTGTAATCTTCTTCATGATTATCCCCCTCATTTGATGTAGTTGAGAGGTCTAGAGCTCTCTTGGCTGGTCCTCTAAGTCTTCTTCCCATATTCAAGACACTAGCCGGTTTCTTTGCCTTCTTCTTCTTCTTCTCTTTGATGACGAGAGCTTTCAGTTCTTCCTTCCCCTTAGCCATAGTCGGGAGCATTTGTTAGAATTGAGTGTTTTGGGCTTGAAGGTCTTTTACTGTCTGTTCAAGAGCTATTTCTTACTGAAATAAACAGTAAGCAGATGATAAACCTGTGTGGGAAAAACATGTTATGATGACATGCATGATATGTGAATGCAATGTTTTCAAGGCTCTCGCAGGGTAAACATAATAAGATGTTTGAATTTTAATCAACAACTTTGATTGGAGAACTTCGTATCGGTGGATGTCCTTCCACGAGAATCAAGCTCCACATGTCAAGTGGGTCATAGCCCCTGACTCAAGTTTATTATACTTTAGTCTTTTGACAACGTTTGGTTAGATAAAAATAAATTCTCTTTCCCCTTGATAGACGTTTGGTTCAACATGTCCCTGCATCACAGGCTCTTGAGATCCTTGAAG